TGTTTGCTGCCTTGCATTTTTTATTTTATGCAAAGCAAGCCTTGCATATTGAAGTCTCTTATTATTCTGAAACTACTCTGTGCCAGATTTTGTAGCTCATTATAGAGGTTCATATGATCAAATTACAGTGTTTTTCTGTGTGTGTCTATGTATATTTTTCACAATATATTTATATGTAAACTAGAACTGAGAGACAGAGTTTGAGTTACTCGAATGGCACTGAACAAAATGGTAGAGACAGCTCTGTAAGTAAGTTGACACATATCCAGGTACTCTCTGTGATCTAGAACACTTATGTTCACTTTTCCTTTTCATCCTTTGTGTAGATACTTTGTATATTTTCTTGCTGTGGTGTCTTATGATCTATTTATTTTATTTACGAGCATCTGTAACCTAGTGTAAGGTTTTGAAATCCTGCAAGATCTCTGTGATTAACTTTTCTTTTTCATGGTAAACTGAAAGGCAGCATTCAGTCTGAAATCAAGGGAGATATTCTGTAGAGGGTTTTGGGTCAAGCTGAGCAAGACTGTTTTAAACACTATGGATCTGCAGCTCCTGCTGACTTCAAAGAAAATTGAAGATATTCATTATTTCTCAGGATGAGCTCTAGAATAAGAAAGTGGCTTTAGCATATTACTGCAAATATTTTCTTTTTATTCCTTTTCCAGGAAGGGAAGAAGTATATTTTCCTTAATAGCTTGAATTAATTTCTCTCAAATTAAAAAAGACTTGCTTCATTTGAGAGGAAGAGATTCCTCTAAGACATGTGCATTTTTATGTCACTTACATGTATTTGGATGTTCCTTAGATATTTAAATTAATAACTTTTATAATTTAGAAATGTTGAACTGCTTAGGAAGACGTGGGGGGTGAAAGTCCCATTGGCTTTCTTGAAAGACACATTTAGCTAGTAAAGAATATTTATGCAGGTACTGAATTGATTTAATATGCCAGCTGTGTGTGATTTCAACTTCTTGCTGTCATTCTTTAGCAAAGGATAAGCAGACAGATGCTTTTCAGCTGGCTCTCAAACAGAGAAGGGGTCTTGGATGCTACTCTTCAAAAGATTTCAGATGCCAATAAAAAGAATTGAGTGTAGTGACTTTATTCATTCTGATGGCAGCTGTCCCACTGTTTCATCAATTTGAGGAATGTAAATTAACATTTTGAGATTATTCCCTGTGGAACAATCTAGTGGGAATGAAGCAGAGGCATGTAAACATTGAACTGATTTGAAATGTAAATATCCAAAATAATGTGGTGATTTGTTAAACTAAAAGGATTTCAGATAGCTGTCCAAAAAAGATACTGGAAGCTAGAAACACCAGCAATAAGGACATTAGTCTTCTTTACCCTGCATGACAAGGGTAATAAAAACATGTCGATAAGGTCAGGTAGGGAGGTTAAATTAACTTTCTTCATTGGCCATTTTCATTTCAAAAGCATATAAAACTGAATAAGTATTAGATTGCTGCTATTGAATTGAATGAGATTCTGGTTTAATTTCATTTTCATGTCAACTGTGCTTTATTTATTTTCCTTTCTTCATTATTTATGTACACTCACAAAACTATATTTAATATTATTTATGGGTTTTGCTTTACAGTGACTAAAGCAAGACTGTAGAAGATCCTTATTAGACTGTGTTGTGTGTTCATGCAGCTCTTAGGACATGCAGTGTAGTTTTTCGGTCCTGAGGCATGTTCTCAGAGGGTCATGTATAGCACGCTAACGCAGAAGTTAGTGTGTATTACGTAATTAAAGGGCCAAACTTTAGCCACCCCTATTTCTTTGCTTGCTTGAGGATCTCTAGCATCAAGAGCTGTAATTGCGAGCTGATTCCTAACAAGCTGTGAGATTTTAATTATCTAACATTTTTAACTGCAGCTTCCTATCGGGTGATTAGACTTTTATCTGCCTATTATGATCTTTGTTAGTAGATCTTGTGTATGTCCTTTGCTCTCACGCAGGAGATGGCTACCGCCTGAGGAAAGAGGAGAGGAGAGTTATGAAAAGGGAGTCCTGTGTATGAATTTTTGGCTTTTAGTAAGGCTTTTGATACTGTCCCTCACAGCATTCTTCTGAACAACCAGCACAGTTGTCCAGCTGTGGGATGAGCGAGTTCATGGTGTGCTGGGTGAAGAACTGGCTGAAGAGCAGAGTTCAAAGGGTTGTAGTGAATGAGGCTACAACTGGCTGGTGATGGGTCACCAGTGGTGTTTCTCAGGGTTCATTTCTAGGACCAGTTCTGTTCAATATATTTATCAACAGTCTGGATGCAGGAGTTGCATGCACCATTAGCAAGTTTACTGATGATAGCAAACTGGGAGATGCTGTTGACTCTCTGGAGGGACAAAATGCCTTGCAGAGGGATATAGACAGATTGGACCATTGAGCTATGATTTTAACAAGTCCAAATGTTGGATACTGCATCTAGGATGGAATAATGCCGGACATAAGTATAAATTGGGAGAGGAGTGGCTGGAGAGCAGCCCTGCAGAAAGAGATCTGGGGGTGCTGGTCGACCACAGACTCAATGTGAGTCAGCAGCGTGCCCTGGCAGCCAAGAAGGCAAACCACATCCTGGGGTGCATCGAACACAGTGTAACCAGCCGGTCAAGAGAGGGGGTTATCCCTCTGTATTCAGCATTGGTGCAGCCTCACATTGAGTACTGTGTGCAGTTCTGGGCCCCACAGTTTAAGAACTATTTGAAAGTCCTTGAATGTGTCCAGAGGAGGGCAACACAGCTGGTGAAAGGGCTGGAGGGAATGTCCTGGAAGGAGCAGCTGAAGACTTTGGGCTTGTCTAGTTTGGAGAAAAGGAGGCTGAGAGGCAATTTCATTGCTCTGTGCAGCTCCCTGAGGAGGGGAAGGTTGCTCTGTGCAGCTTCCTGAGGAGGGGAAGTGGAGAGGGATCTGCTGAGCTCTTCTGCGTGGTATCCAGTGATTGGACATGTGGGAAAGCTGCACCAGGGGAGGTTTAGAGTGGACATTAGGAAGCATTTCTTTACCGAGAAGGTGGTCAAACCCTGGAACAGGCTTCCTAGAGAGGTGGTTGATGCCCCAAACCTGTCAGTGTTTAAGAGGAATTTGGACAATGCCCTCACAACATGCTTTAACATTTGGTCAGCCCTGAATTGGTCAGGCAGCTGGACTACATAATCATTGTAGGTCCCTTCCAACTGAAATAGTCTGTTCTCTTCTAATTCACAAAAACCTATTGCTTTCAGTAGGATTTAGGGTTTCTTTAATGATTAAAAAAAAGGAGTGTGTGGAGAGGAACAAGAGAGGAAATCAACAGTGCTATGTTTCTTTTTATGATTTACCTCCTTGCTTTTTGAAGAGAGGCTCAAGCTTCTGTTAGTAGAAGTGGTACTTTGATGATACCCATATTTTGTGACAATATAAATTAGTTTTTCTGCGGGTGGTTGCACATTTTTTTTGTGTCAGGACAAGCATCCAGCATCACACAGTTTTGTAGGATGTTGAGCTTGAACTTTAGCAGGAGCCATTTAAAGTAACTTTCAATTAAAATGTTCAGATATGCTTGGTAAAAGAAACCTAACACAAAAGGGACTTCAGCCCATTCTTGTAATTTTATCCTGATAATACGAATCCCATGCAACAAAGCCAGAGTCAGCATCAGTCGGTAAGATTGTGCTGTTGCATTAAGGTCAATGACAATGGCAAGATTCTCTTTAGAAGTTAAATCTTTCACCAGATCTAATCCATGTGTATTTCGTCAGTATATCACAGGCATACTGACTCTGTGACCTCTGAATAATTTAGCACTTGAAGGTACTTGTAATTGTTCAAGAAAAAGCTTTCTGTATCCTGATGAATTGAGTGAAAGTTCAAAGTGATATGAAGTCCTAAGGGGTCTGCACGTTGATGAAATCTTGATCTGACAGATGTTTTAAATACGGAATAAAAAAGTTTAAAAAAAAGTTAGTGTACAACAATGGAATGGTTGCTTAGGGGCAAAATAACAAAATTAAAAAGAGCATCAGGAAAACAAACATATAGAACTTATTTTTCTGCTTATTGGTCTCTAGGCAGTCAAACACATACTTGGAAGCTTCACTGTAGTTCTCCCCTTTGTTCCCACTCCCCTTTTAAGCAACAATCCTGATCTTAATTGTATTTTCTTGTACTTGATTGTTCTTATGCTACTCTTTGCAAAACAATGTCATATAAATGAGAATTGGAGAAGAACCTTTGAATCAGCTTCTAGCAAAAAAAAAAAATAGCCCCTTTCTAATTTGCATAATTTAGATTCCATATTTTGTGGAATCTACCATGTTTGACCTGCTCTTTTCAAAATTACTTATGAGTTCAGTGCTGCCAAGAGCACACCATATACTGCTCCGAGATACAAGGCTACACTGAGATACAGTAAATTGATATCTATCAATCCTTTGTTCTCTTCTTGTTACACTTCAGCTTGTTAGTGGACCGTGGAGTTTTACTTTCTATCACGAGGTGTAGGTGAGCCAGCAATTCTAGCTTCATTCCCTGTTGTTTGTGTAAGTGGACAATGTATAGATGCACTTGGTGATTTTGTTTTTTATTTCTATGAGAAATCTGTTAGCTAGAAAATAAAAAAGAAAGAAATGAATACAAGTGGATGCTTTTTCCTGTGATTTTCAATGGATTCTTATCTTAGAGCTACCAGAGGAATTGTTTGACTTCAGATTTGTTTAAATAAGAACAGTTTTGAATGAATGACTGCTGAGAGATTAAAGCTGTCTCCAAAGACCTATGTTCCTGGAACTTTGCAGCTCTCTGCACATATAACTGAGATGCTGTGTTACTGCTTTCAGTATTCTGTCTAGCAATACACTTATTAATCAAAAGCGCTCACTATAAATTTAGTGTAAAACTGACATTTTCTTTCCAAACTGATTTCTAATTTCTGTGCTGTATTTCCATTAATCATCACAATACCAGGTACTTATTGGAAAGGTGAAATTTCTGTAACCTCTTCAATTTCTCCTCAGGTAAAAGAAGAGGAGCAATCAGCCAATCACACTTTGATGATTCAAGAGACCCTGCAGCAGGCTTCAGTGGAGCTGTCTGAACAGCATCACCTGGTAGTCTCCTCAGATGAAGTGGAGGGAATTGAAACAGTGACTGTCTACACACAGGGTGGAGAGGCTTCAGAATTCATAGTTTATGTTCAAGAAGCTATGCAGCCTGTAGAAGAACAAACTGTGGAACAATCGGTGCAGGAGCTCTAGAGGACAGTGTTCAATTGAGATGGCTACTTGATTTGCCAAAGTCAAAAGTTTGGGTTTTTTTTGTAACACAGCCAAAGACAAATACGTAACAAAGCTGACAAATTTTCATTTAATTTGTGAAGCAAGACCTTATTACTGGATAGTGATCTGGCTGTTTGGAATGTATCAATAATTTCGACATATTGTATACAAAACCTCCTCAGACTTTTTTTTTTTTTCCATTAAAAAATGTTCGTATATTGAGGAAAAAGTATTTTTCCCTTTCTGAGAAGATCTCTCATTTGATTCCTGTAAATCCCCCAAAATGTTGTCTGTTCAAGACCGTATTATCCCACAATAGTAAAACATCTATAATGGTAGCTAGAATGTCTAGAAAGTCCGTACATCCCAATTTAAACATACTTACTATATGCTTGACTTGACTGGAAGCAGGGTTCTATTTTTTTCTTTACATTAGAAGAGTAAGTGCTTAGAATGTGTTTGCTGTATTGTGGAGCTAACCCAAACAAAAGCTCAAGACTTTAACTAGGAACAGGCCACAGATGGACTGTAGTTTGTGCTTGTGATGATCCTTTGAATTTGGGAGGTATTTAAAGCCATATGTGATAATTCTGGGTACCAGTAGGATAACTGTTATTTAGATAATTGAATAATGATAACTCTTTCCATCCTACTGGATAAATACCTGGCCAGTACCATATAATGAAACCAAATCTGTCAAATCAATGAAATATTATTTTGTTTTTAAGAAAAAAAGTATATTCAAATGATTTGTAAATGCTATAAAAGATGTATGTTCTTACGTTTTAAACAGACATGCTTGTAAATATGATTCTGTGAAAGAACCTGTAAAAAAAAGTAAGTAAATATTGACAAGAATCTAGATATTCTTAATTATCCATGTATATAGTTCCAGATTTTTCTTCATGAATCCTGAATTGTTTCTGATTTAATATTTTTAAATTTGAGCTATAAAAGTTATTAATTAATAACAAAACTGTCATGCTCTCTTCCAGTGCTCTGATTTCTTAAGTGTTGCCTTCCCTTTCACAGCTAAGTGAAAATGCTGGTTTGCATTGACTCTGACAAATTATTCCTCCAGTTAGTAGTCTCTGATTAAGAAAGGAGCATAATGAAGCTTAGACAGACCTTTTTATGTGATTGAACTTGTGGGCATTCTGGGTAGACAAGTGGAAAAAAGCTTTTGACTAAGTTGATGTAATGTAGTGAGTTGTTTGTCTGCCTCTTCTAAGTCTGCTGGGTTCTAGTGATGCTGTACAAAATCAGAGTGCATTTAGTGGTAGCTTCTGCCTTACCTGTGGCGGTAGGGAATTCAAATTTGGTAATGGGAAAGAACTGAAAAGGGTGGTAACAATGTTTCATCTTGTTTAATCCTGAAGTGCACAAGAAGGCCCAGGGGTGTTGCCTTGGTGGGGTGGAGACTTTTTTGCCACTCGGTGTAACTGGCAGGAGCTGGTCACAAATGTCAGTGTTGATTTCTTGTGTGTTCAGTATCCTTGACTGAGCCCTGAAGTCTTTAATAACATTTGCAGTGTGATAGAAACTGATACACCAAATGTGTCAACTTGATTAATCTGCATAAGAAACTTCGGTTTTGTAATTACTGGTTAAAATTCAGTGTTGATTTGCAAGAATAATGCTTTCAATTATGTAAAAGAGAAGAAACCAGTCTCAAAAAGTTTTCTTAGAATTTATTGAAATATGCATGGCTCACTTGCTTTTAAAACCACATTTAGAAGAGCATCATGATCATACGCAGTAACAGCTATGTTCTTAACATGAAACCTTTCTGCATTTGCAATTATTGCATTATTATCTCACTGTGGGGGGAAAACAGAAAAGTATTTTGCTATGCATCATTCAAGAATTCTTAAGTAAATTATTTCCAGATAGACTCAGTACATATGTCTATGAGAAGTGGGTCTGTATTTGAAGGAGGGGTTTTGGTTTTGGTTTTTTGTTCATTTTAATTCCAGTATATCACAACCATGCACACCTACTGTAATTTAAGATTTGATTTATAATTAACAAATTATATCACATTTTTCTACACTAAAGCATTTTTGTGAATTTTCTGTATCCTTTTTTTTTCAATTTAAAAAATACTTTTCAATTCAGGTCTTTTCTTAAGTTCCAGGTTTTTTTCCCAACTCTGAAAAAGCAGTGGTTGGAAACATATGTAAGTGTAAGTCAGGAAGGACTTCCAGCTGTGTTGAGTACAGCACATTTATTTCTTGCCTCCATAATTAATACATTTTCCTCTGCCTAGAATATGCAACATCTTTAATGCTATGAGGAGATAAGTACTTTGTCTTTAATGTAATCCATTGTACTTTACAAAGTGCATGTCCAAAGATGTGCATTTTTTCAGAAGCATAAAGAAAACTGTTTATACCAGGCATTTTTTTTTTGAGACCATGGCTGTTCCAGTTGTCTTTTGTCTGCCTTTGGAACCACCAAAAAGGTAAGAATTAAATCTTCCGCTTGGCAAGCTGTACTTCTATTATCACCTAAACAGCACAGATTTTTTTCAGTGTTGATTCAACTCCTTTTCTGATGGTTAAGTGACCTTTTCAGTTCAGGGGAGACAAGCAGTTACAGCTTTAAATTAGTTAAATAGATCCTGTTTCTGAAGATTGTACATTCTTTGCACATGAGTAATTTTTATTAGCGTTTTCTAGACTGTATGATCCTGTTTTTTCTTCCTTCTTTTACACCTGAGGAACATCATGGCTTTAGGCTAACACTTGGCAAATATTGCTCTTTAAAAGCTTATATATGTATAAATTGAGGAACTGATGGACTCACTGATCTGCTCAGCTAGGAACACATCAAAAGTTTCTGGGAATGTGTTGAGTACAGAGGGGAGCTAAGTCTTGGAATTGTGGGAAGATTTTTAAAAATTAGAGAAAGGAAGCTGCAAATTATTTTAGTGGCAGTAGAGTCTTATTTAATGGATGGTAAGATTATGATGCTTGAAGCTGACTTCTTCAGAAAAGTCTCGTAGAAATTAACTGGGAACAGTAGTTCTGGAAGGACCTCATCTTACAGGATGAAATGAGCATCTGTACACAGAAGGGAAAATTTGGACTTCACAGGGCAAAAGGCACAGGAGGAGGTGTGGGGAATGGAGATTCCAAGAATTTTTACATTCCTCTCTAATTTATTATATTCACAGAGAGTAATTTTTCTTTCCTGAATAGAGAAGAACAAGGGACCTACCTTTCTTTCTGATATAGTTTAGTTTCTGTGGCCTGTTGTGATTCCTGTTGATCCCAGCACCATTTCTTGATACCAGTGTTTTTAACCAGCTTTTGTAGCTTCTATGAAGCTGCACTAATAGAGGCTTTGTACTGGATCTGTGTGTACTGGATCCACTTATCTGGAAAGTCCATGGGATGAAAAGAGGAAGGAACTGCATACTTCTGCTTTGCTGTTTTACCTCAAATTTTGGTTTATATGAAATCACAGCTAGAGACAAGAGTACTGCAGAGATGATAATGTTAGACCAATTGTTCCTACTGTAATAAGGAATTATATTCCTTACTTGAATGCTGTTGATGGCATGTTTTCAAACAAGATTACAAAAGTGGCTTTGCTGTAAGCCTGAGATTTTCAGAATGTTGTAACAAACTTCTTCTAAAGTTCTGAGTGCACAGAGTATCCTAGAACTGCTATATGGAATATGGCACTTAATCCATTCAGTCTTAAGAAAGGAAAGAAAACTGCTTTCACATTCCAATAAATTTGCTCACAACATGGACATGTGCATTACAAACTTAAAAAAAAACAAACTAAAACCAAAACACACAAAAAACCTCTTTGTATCTCGAGAATAAGCAAGTACTGCTAGCACAGTAGAGAAAGGAAGGAAGTAGCAGAAATAATATTGCAAGATAAATAACTGTTTTAAGCACCAAGTGGGCAGAGAGTTTGGCATGTGAGGGAACCTTTTGGAACTGTGTTCAACTGCAGGGTCAGGGCTTGATTTTTGACTTGAACTCTTTATGCCTGCCTATGGAAAGGGCTTATCATTAACTGCTTCTGATTGTTGAAGCTTCAGTAAAATCAACGGAGATGTGAAAATTCCCCCAGTGAGGAAGTTTTAAGTTCCAGACTCTTCTGAAAATCAAACTCTTGCGATGAAAGAGTACAGATTAACTGAGACAGACCACTTTGGGAGAACGTCTTTCCAAAGTCACACCTAAGCTTTTATGAAGGTAGGAGAATTATCAACCAGTTTTATGCCTTAAAAGACTGCAAGCCTGTCTTTTCTTGTCTTGCTTAAATGTGGAGTTGTATTTCTGTAAGAACAGAGAGGTGCAACTGAGGACTGTTCAACTAGTATTGAATTGAAAAGAATATTGAATTTTATTTTTTAATTCTTTTGATCTGAAAATAATGACTGCTATCAGAGAGCACACAGCAGAGCTGAGTAAAACAGATGGTGTACCCAAAATCGTAGTATATGGATTGTTATAGTTTGTTTTGTGGTTTGTTTTGGGTTTTTTTACACCAGATGACAGTTTCTGCTTTCTGTCGGTATATTTGATCTGTATCTGAAACTTTAAACAAGGAAAGACATGAGCTTATTTGCCGGCTGCATCATTAGCAGAAATGTACTTTCTTTAGGTAATACAGTCTTTGCTCATAACATGACAAACTGCAGATGTTCTTTTCCCTATTGTAGTCTGATCACAGTGAGGTTACTGTGTTGTACTGCACACAGCTTGACAGTTCTCAGTTTTTGTTTCCAGCTTTCCCATTATTAGCAGATATAAGCAGAGCATTTTTGCCCATTAGTATTCAGCAAGAGAGAAATGTGATGGTTTCCTTTCTCTGCCTTAACCATCTTGAAGATTGATGGGGGGAACACAACAGAATTGAACCAAATTTTTTCTTAGGAATGTATAACAAGGGCTTGGTAAGTTGCTCTCTCCTTTGAAATGTGTGAGAAAAACACAAAATGATGGGATGTC